CACAAATCGAAACGCGTCCCATATTCCGCTGGGATTGTGCTCTGTATTAATTTTAAATGCCTTAAGTTCATGTAGATAACTCCGCTATCAGACAAGTCCACACAACGTCGCGATCACCGTGCACGGCTTATTGTTAGTGGAAGACATTTTATTAGTTCCCATGGATTATTCAGCGTTCATACCTTGCGTCAGCGTTCACCAACGTTCAAAGGGACTAGGGAAGCGTATTCATCGATCTGGCGAAGGCTGGCGTCCACCAGTGTTTGCCAGTGTGCAGCAGAATCTAGGAGTAGAGAATATGGGAGGGTAGAGGGAGCAGAGACTGCTGGATTGAAACCCTCGGCATGTGCAGGCTTATTGTACAAGTGTGCTGCACCGTACATCAAGATAGCATAAGTCTATGCTCTTGAAGTGTACGGCGCGGTTGCACACGCCACGAAGTTTCACGACGCCTAATCCAGCACTGTGCTACTTTTTCACATTCTCCACTCCTGGACGCTACTGTACGCTGATGGACGCTGGAGGATGTTTGCGTTCGCAGATCGATATCTATATTTCCTAGTCGCCGGTGCTGGGGTGAGGCTGGAGAACGTGGTGCACAGTATGAACGCAGCCTCATTGTCGTACCTCTTCTAGGAGTCTTGCAAAGTGTTACCTATCAAGCTGTTGGGCAATAAGCCACAAGTTACAGGAGGTCCGCCTACACTTGACGAGTTTTACCGTCCTCATTATGGTGTGACGCGTAATTCACCAGAAACTAGCAAATGGAACTAGACAAGGTGCGAAATGCCTCCCGAACTCAAGTGCGCCGAGGTTAGATTAGAGAGGTTTGTAGCCAGAGAAAAAGAAAAGAGGGCTTCATAGGGGGGGGAGGCTGAACTTTCCTCTAGAGTTGTTCGGTGAATCGTTCGTACTTGAGTTAATCCATTATCCAATCGTCATCTTATTTGTCTTTTGATGATCACATGTCTCGGAGAAACCCCTTAGGGATCTGATTTTCCAGAGAATAGCAGTTGATTTTACGAGCTCATACTAGCAAAGATCGTGGCGTCATGCGGACTTATCTAGTGGTGACCTTATCCACGGGACTTCGGGATAATTAAGTCGTGACGAGATGAGACTGAAGACGTTGTAGTCGAGACGGCACATCACTACTGAGAGACTGGAGAGCAGAGACAAAATTAATTTGGGCCATATCTAAAATGGCGGAGACTCGAAACGTCGTCCCCTCAACTCGAGTGGAGAGATTAATCCAGGGACACTGAGGCCTGGTTGGGCAAGTCCTATATGCTGACCATGGCGAATTGTGGTGCTCGCTTTCTCATGGAATATGAAAGAAATTTGAGCATTCCATTTTGATTGCTCCCCTACAAATATGATATTTTTGACCGGGGTGTGATGGTTTTCAAGACGGCTCCAGTGAGAATCTAAGAATTCCAAGCTTCCTATTTTTTGCACCCGGATTATACTGAAGGTGACGTGCCCATTTTCTGATCGGAAAAGGGTAAATCACTAGGAGTTAATCAATGGCATTTCCGAAACCAACCACGCGTTCGGCTTCCATTTGGACTCGTGGTCGCTTTTGATTAACATTGTTCGAATATTTTTAGTCCGCGCTATGACTTCTGGCCTTCAGACGTTCACTTCACTGCACAGGTGCTTTTCTCTTTGTAGACCAGCACGGTATGCTTTTTCGACCACAGAAGGATTCAGTAAACTTGATGAGATCCGATCAATCGTTGGATCTTCTGTGTGCCTGCTGTGTCAGCGTTACGTCCCACTGCTCGCCGACTCTTTCCAACTATTTCTGTCGTGAACCAGTGCAAAAGTAAAACAGCGGACCCTCCCCTCCCCTTCAACAAATCGCATAACGCGTGAAATCGGCGACGTAATGAAGTTGTTTAATCTTCTCATTCCTTGCTGTTTACTGCATGGAAGGATTTCTGCTATCGTGTGAAACATGCACGCTGCAGTAAAGACTCACCCTAGAATTCCATAGTCCACAGTGGATATGAGAATAAGATGCGAGCAGCAATAACCACATCGACACATCCTTGCTGCTCCAGTTGACACGCCAGTGAGGTGAGTGCGCAGAGGCAGTAAGCTAGTGATGGGGAGGGATCGTCTGAAAGAGTTATTATATCAAGCAGAAGCCTTACAAGGGGAACCTCTAAGAAGCAGAAATTACTATTGTAAATTAGTGATAACGACAGAGTTGAGCTTCTTGATGCAACATTATTGAGCAGTAAAGGATGCGCCCCATCCGAGGATATATGTCGACTGGAGGAAGCGGTCTGCAACATGCAAAATGTTGAGAAAGTAATGATGAAGTCTCACTGAGAAATGGTTTAACGTGCCATCATACGGGTGCCAAAGCCTAACTAACGTGCCACGATATGGAGCCAAAAGTTTTCGCGAAAAACGGGTATGACATTCATGTCTAAAATAGTCAAACTATCTCCGAGGACAAACTTCTAGCCATATTAAGACTAGAACTTGCTTACGACTTGCCAGAGCAGAGCATCATTGCAAATCGTGGCCTTGTCAATGCAAATAAAATTGTATTCCAAGCTCTCTGGCACGTTAAAACCTCTTCCCGCTTAGATGTCTTACCGCGTCAGGTCGGAAAGAGTTGATGACAAGTAGTGGGGCGTCATGGTATGCAAGCCGATCTTCTTGTATTCGCTCGATTTCACCCCAAAAGTCCGACTCCAGTGCCGCTCGAGGCACCACCACTACCCGTACGCAGAGCTGAAAAATTTTTTTATAAATGTGGTCAGACTACTGAGTCGGC